CCGCCCATTTGCATGTCACCGCCGCCCCGGCGCGGAGAAGGAACTGAAACCTCAGGGCCAAACCACCGGCAAAAATGGGGTGCCGGAGGCGGCGAGGGGTGTGCCGGGGTGCGTGCCGAGGGGTTTAGCTCCTCGCCAGGCGCCTGCGCGGCTACTCTCCCCGGCAAAGCATGGCCGGGCAGGAGACCTACGGCAACTGGTTGGGTCCCCCGCTGGTGCCCACCAAGCGGCTGGTGAGGCAAGCAGGTAAAATTGGGGAGACCCTCCCTCTCCGTGTCCTTGGCGTGTCCTTAGCGTGTGTTTTCGGGGCCGGCGGTTGTCTCGGCGAAGCGCGGCGACGTCCGAATGCGCCGGCGGGGCACCGCTGTTGTACGGAGTGGGGCGAAACGCCTTTGGGGTGCTCTCAGAGTCGTGCGGGTTCCAATCCGCACTCAAGAGCCCCTAAATCTCCAGGTTTGGCCCCAATTTCAGGTGTGATCTCCATGCCGGGCCTTAAAAAAGCATCGGCAACTTCCTTGCCGGCAGCGAGGGGGTTAGAAGAAGCGCTAGCGGTGGTTTTGGGGATCTTCCCCTTATCCACAACGCTCTCTACCTTTCCTTTTTTGGCAGGAATTTACTCCGTCGGTGGGAAAATGACACCCGTGGGTGACTTCAGACCGGGTAAGTCATCATTTTTTCACCTTTTCAGGCTTTTTTGTAGCGCGGATGGAAAGCAGAACTCCCTGAGGTGCCTCTCCGAGGCCGAACTGGGCTTTATTTTCAGCTCGGTTAGTCAAACATGTCTCGCTATACGCAGCGTTTCTCTCTGAATTTGGTTCCTTCTGTCAAACGAGATCAAATCGCCCCGAAAATATCCTGAAAGTCCCTGCTGTGGGGATTGAGAGGGAATTCATCGCTCCACCCTCACGGGCGGAGCCGGCGTTTGCGCCTTCGCAGGCTCAAATTCATCCCCTCCCACCGCAGAGAACTTCAAACCTCAGCAGAATTCCTTAGATTTGTGGCTGAGGGGAGAACCTGAATCCGAAAGAGTGAAGCGACGTTATAAAACTCTATAAAAATGATAAAATCAGTATATTATTGAGAAAAAGGTGTACAAACCTTGCCGGAGGTGCTGCGGATTTACCAAAAGGAAAGGAAATTGCGTTGCTCCCCCCCCTGGAAATATTCAAGGCCAGGTTGGACGGGGCTTTGAGCAACCTGGTCTAGTGGAAGGTGTCCCTGCCCGTGGCAGGGT